CATAATGCACGATTGTGCTTTGCACTGTCAACAGGGGCCTCATTGAGCCTGACAAACTACCACCAAGTCCTGTACCAAAAGCCTAGAGCCTAGCTGAGTGGCAGTCCAGGGTTTAGCAGACAAATGTGACACTCCCATCCCCAACCCCAGACCATCTTTGTGTCCCATCAAGAGATAGTGTGTTACCACAGTGCTCAGGTTTAGACTTTTACACTTCAAATTGAGAGCCTGTTTCCTCCACTCCTGGAAATATCCTGCATGGCTTGCATTATATTGGCAAGATAAATTAGACAAACTAATAGTTGTGTCTAAATGTATTCTCATGCATGCCTGTTTCTAACCCTTGTTAACAGAGAACTCAGAAAAGTGATTTAAAGTCACCTTATAATTCCAGCTGGCAGTGGAAGAATTTGGGCATGCCGCCAGGGAATTCTGTGTTCAAACTTACATTCAGATATTTAACAGTATGAAGTTCATTGTGCAGACAAGGGATATCATGTGAATCTTTCACAGTGGACACAAAGAAACGTCACAGTTCCACCAGGCTCCGTGATTTTATTAAACCCCCAGGAAAAAAGGTCGATGGACTTGGTGGAGGGGGCACATCTCTGTCTATCTCTTTTCACAAAACTGTGCTTTTTTTAGTTTTAAATGGAGAACATTATTTCGTAGTGAAACTGAAGAATAAGCTAATGTAGGGAGTATAGTGCTTGGGGCATAGGCTCTTCTACTGCACTGTGACCCATCCTCATCCATTCCTATACCAAGACATACGAACTCCTCCCGACCCAGCTGTACAGCAGCTCTGTTCTGGTGCTTTTCTGACAAGAGCTGGGATGGCCAATGGCTGGGACAACAAGGGGAGCATGCAGGCTGCAGCCAGCCCTTCCCGAGTGCTGCAGCAGATAAAAGGCTTGCAAGTAGCAATTCCCTGCTGGGGCAGAGAAGAGAGAGTGAGAGCCCCAAAGGTTTCTTTCACACAGGTCACAATACTGAAATATTGCCAAATAATACTGGTACTGTGCACATTTCTACCGTGAGGTCACTGAAGATATGTTTCCAGGTCAACACACGCAGGGTAAAATCTTAAAACCTTATGACAATATAGTGCATTGCATCCTGCCATCTGCCTGTACACGAAACACCTCTCAGTGGATATTGCACGGGCAAACTGACTGCACAGTGTCTCATTCACCATGTCTGTTTACCTATCAGCATTCCAGATTCTGGGAGACCCTTTTTGCATAATGAGTTATGTTCTTACATTACTTTATTCTGTCTAGCTTGGTAATTAGTAGGCAGCCCAGTGGAATGGCTCTGCGTGGTCGTGGCAATGACCATTTGTCTTTCAGCTGATGATTTGAGGAATATGCTACAAGTAGTCCAAACAGCATGAGATAAAAGGTTATGGATGACTCAAAATTTTGACCTCTGTCCTTGTCCTCACTAAGCATAGGTAAATAAGATTTTGGTATAGGAAACAGGATTTACCTACTGCCATGTATTAATGTTATCAGAAAGCTACCCCTTGTTCCATATTTTTATCCCTACTGTTTGAGAGAGTAGTCAATGCATATGCCCGCTTTCACCTCTGGGACTTCTCCTGCCTGTGCTGGTGACCACCACTATCCTCTGCTTCTTTAACACAAAGCACTTGCTCCTTCTCTGCCCCAACAAGCATCACATACTGTCACACAAACCCTTTAAGTCTGCAGTCTGCATCTCACCCAGTCTCATCATCCTCACCTTCAAGGTTTTACCTGACATTCAACTTCCCTTATGTCTTCTCTCACTGCACCGCCTTCCCATTCTCCTCCTTTAAAGTCTCCTCCCAAGCACTCTCTTTGCTTCCGTTGTCACTTCGCAGCAGTTTTACAAGTGATGTTTTACTCCTTTCATACTCATAACGTTATTACTCTTTCATGCCACCTTGCATGCTGGAAATGGTCTCCTATTTCTTTTGAGTCACACACTCTCCCTTAGTTTCCTCCACATCTTTCCTTAAAAGCTATTTCTTCAGCAACAACTTCCAGTTATGCTATCCCCACTGGGTGTCTTCATCTAAATGCCACTGGCCAGAGAGGACCTAAATTTAACCATCTGGGCACAGTCTTCACTCACGCTTTTGCTCAAGGCTAGATAGCTGTCAAATGGGTATCTCATTTGACAACTTGCTTAGGTAAGCATGGGTTACATTATCCTTATGTCAATGTTCTGTCATGGCAGGAGCAGCTGCAGATTTGGGGACTGCTCTTGCAGCAGCCGGTTGTTGGCCATGTGATGTTCTGTTTTTATTATAAGCATTCCCACTAGTTAGGACAAAGGACACTTTTTTCTTGTTCTTAAAACATTGATAATACTCTTAAAGATCTCCACAAACTGGAAAAATCTCAAAGTTTAGCCAGTAGCACAAGTTTACGAGCTTGTTTCTAATTCAGTGTACACCATGACTGAAAATTATGTTGATTACAGGAAAGTCCCAGAACTAAGTTATCTTGGTGACAGAACCTTATCTTCTCACCTGTTTACCCTGTTAATGGCGGACTAGCATGCTCTGGCTTTGGAGTCAGAAGACTGAAGTCCACAAGGTGCTTTTTCTGCAAAGGACCTTCCTCTTCAGAACTCACTGTCTACTTTGGCCACCAAAACTTAAGACTCTTTGCCTTCAGGGTCAGTTTAAGGCACATACTGGTTTTGGTGAAAGGCTTATTTTTTTGTTTTGCCAGATAATATGCTTCTACAACACATTTACTGACGTGCCACGGAAACACGAAGGTGTTTGTGTTCTGGCTGAAGTTACAAACATCATAAAGTTTACCAGCTCATTCCAACATAAGAAGTGATGTGTTACCATTTTTGTTCAATATGATCTATGCCGTTTTCTTTTTTTCATTTCATATGCATTAGCAGAGATAAAGTATATGTTTTTCCTCATCTACATGGCTTGAACTGATCACTTGCCCTACATTTTAGTAATCCATGACCCTCCTTAAAGTAATCTCTGCTTCTTTCAGCATTCTGCTGCCCCACCAGCTTTCTTAAAATGGTAAAAGCAGCTGGATCTAATAGTCTTCTGAAGGCAATACTGTGTTTCGGAAGTGTATTGTGCTTTTTATGCTACCCATTTTATAGACTTTCACTGGTTAAATTACAGTGAATACGGAGGACCAGATTTTCTGAACCACTAGCAGATGTTCACTGTTGCTAGTTTTATGAGTCTTGTAGAACAGCAGGAACAGACTATGTGCAAAACATTTTTTTTTGTGATTTTGCCATCTCATACTGTTCTCACAGCACTGGCTCGGTAATGATATGATAAAGCTTGGGAGGTAAGCTTTAATTGCAGACAAGCTGCTGTTGGGGCCTTCAGAAAGCCAGACCTGTAAAGTGTAGTTTGTTTTCAAAAGCCTGTGGCTGAGACAGATGGGTTAGCTGGAAATATGTCATTTATAATATAATCAAATACTTGGCCTCTTATTCAGGTATTAGTTGTTATGACTATGGCTGCTGAATGTTTAAACTGTCTCACAGTTTGTTCCATTCAGATGTAAGCTGTGATAGCTTTCTGTGAAATGCTAATTTTGGATGAAATTATCATGTTAGCATGAGTTATTTGATTTTTGTAACATCTTGTTGTACAGAGGAGAAAATGGTCGCAAAACGGTTTCATATAAAAAGCAAGAGTACTAGAATGTGTACATTTCAAAAATTTTCTTCAAATAATGCCTTATTTTAAACCTGGCCCAAGTTTTGGTAGGGAGTGTATTAATGTGGTAATTTAGAGGCCTCTCTTGAGCTAACAAGTCACTTGGTTGAAATGGTTTTGTGGTCAAATACATGTTGGGAAGAGATCTTCAATATACAATCAGCCTTGCTCTGTGATCTGAACAGAAATGAATTATCATGGGCACAGACAGCATAGGGACGGAGCAAGGCTGAGTTTGTGATAGCACTGGCTTTACTTTGACTAAGTAATATATCCATCTACAGAGTCCACACCTCTTTCTTTCCTCCACCTCTATTGCCAGTGCATATGTAGCTTATAGGAGTTATGTGAGTATACATGTATTAACTGTGACTATAGGCAGAACAGCAACAGTAATAAAAGATTGTTCTTAATACAAAGCATGCAAAATATTTGAAATATCAGAACTGAGAGTGTTTGTACAATACTAATTCAGCCCCTTTGTCTCTATGCACAGATCTGTTATAATATAAAAGCAGATTGAAGATAAGAATAGGACAGACAATCTTAACACAAACACTAGCTAATTCTGCAGTGCTTGATTTTGCAACCTTAAGATATTATTCTAGCACCCATATTTGGATATAGTTTTCCTTGGGTTTTTTGGTTTTGTTTTTTTTTAAAAAAAAAAGCAAAGAGAGGGGAGGAATAAACAAACAAACAAACAAACAAACAAAGAAAAAAAAACAAAGTAAGCAACCAACCAACCAAAAACAAAACAAACAAAAACCCCATGAAAATTATATCATCCTTTAGGTAAAGCAGTAGTGGAGAGAATGAACTGTGCAGTTTTCCAGCACAGATACCTGCTGCAGTCAAGGAGCAAGCAAAAGTAAGAACCAAGGGTCCTAGTGCAGGCTGTGCGTGAGAACGTGACCTGCTGCACACAGGTTCTTTTGCCCTTTTCTCCCCGCTGGCTCTGTGCTAATCTGCTCCCTTTCTCTCCTGATTTCATTTTCTTGCACAGTCCAGCAAGAGGGAATAATTTGAGACAGCTACCTAAAGAGGAGAGACTGAGACAAGAACAGCTGAGACAAGACTGTGAGTGGGGACAAGGGAAGTTAAGGTGAATGAAGGAGGCAAAGAGACATTCAGCAGCACCCTATTTGTTCAGCAGCGCCCTATTTATTCAGCTGAGAATAGCAATTTTGTGGACACATAATTTTTGATAGCATTTCTGTTCTCATGATGTCAACCAGATGCTTGAAGAAGGACTGACTCCATAGTGTGACCAATGCTTTTGTTTGTTTTACAGGTTGATGACCAAATGAAGTTGCTTCAGAACTGCTGGAGTGAACTCTTAATTCTAGATCATATTTACCGGCAAGTGGTACACGGGAAAGAAGGCTCCATCCTTCTGGTTACCGGGCAACAAGTGAGTATGTGAGCTCAGGGAAGTATTGATGGCTTTTTAATAATAATTTTCAAAATAGCAGGAGTTTAACTAGGTCAGAAGCACTCCTGTGTTCTCAGAGATTCTCCACAAATAATGTAGCTAAAATGGCTTGTGCACTCTGTTCCTAGTATGCTGATTACAGTTAAACTTATAAAAGCAGATATAATCATAAGCACTTTGCTTTTCAAATATACTTGTATACTTCAGTGATTGAAAAATAGCAGATAAGAAGTGTTTCTCAAGAAGTTGTATTTCCTTGGGGTTAAAATGGTTTCTGACAGCAACACCACCACTCCCAAACTTGATGCTTTAGGTCTAAACAATGATAGCTTATTTTCCCTTCAGAATTGTGGTTTACTCAAAAGAATCACTATCTGGGTCAGAAACCTAGAGAACCTGCAGCTATGACCTCAGAAATATCTTACTTTTTGAAAAGTATGCACATGCATGAGAAACTGGGCAGCTGAGACATCTAATCCCAGGAAAATTATTCAGTCCATGGGCTATAAATGCAGGTATTGTCTCAGGAGCTGTCTCACGGTAAGCACCCTGCAGTTTCTGCACAGCTTTGCAAGGGTTAATTTTCTTCAGGTGTCAGATGCATAGATCTCCCAAAATGCAAGAGCAATAATGTGGCAAATATTAGGAAAACTGTGAGAAAACCCAAAGGAAATAGAAAGTTTTGTCTCCCTCATACTTTCCAAAGCACAAAGAACTTGACAGTAAAATAACCTTATTCCTAAGGTTCTTATTCTGGTTTTAACAGAAAATAAATCACTGTATCGAAGAGAAGCAAAGTGTGCCTGTATATTATGTTCCTGATTCAAAGCAAAAACAAACCATGGCCCATCAGTATTTAAGTAGCTGCAAATTGAACTGCCTCAATTTATGCATGTATAGGAAAGGGCTCCTTTTTCTGAGATACATCATTTATGTCTGCATGTTGTGCAATCTGCTCACAGCTTTCATTATAATTTTAAAACTGTAGCCATTTCTTAACACTGAGAACATGTGTTTATAAGAACCAGAAGGAGAAATAACTGTTTGCATTTATGATTAAAAGGTGTACAGTAGAAGGGAGAAATGATCGGCTTGTCCAAAAAAAGAAGTGGGAAAAAGCAAATTTTAGCTACGGAACTGACTCCTGCACCTTTGTGGAAAGTCACTAACCCATCTGAGATAAAATTGTGCTCCTTAATTATAAAAGCAAAAATTAGTTGCATTACTCTTGATTTGTATTGGTGCTATTGGGAAAATGGCTGGTCCCATCTCCATTTCATCATTTGCAAAACATGGACAATTGTACCAGCAATTATTTTATTTACCACACAGGGTGCTTTTCTTATTCCTTTGTTTATAAAGCTGTAAGTATACCGACAGTTTTCTGTTCCTGAGAGAACTGCTAAATTAGTGTCTCATTTGTTATGTGATTAGCTAGTTTTTAAAGGTTCTGAGTGCCTAAGTCCCACTGAAATCATTAGAGACATCTAAATACCCTTAAATTCTAGCCATTGTCCCCATTTTTCCACAGTAATAATTCTTACCTCATTAGCCACTTTTATCTTTTCTTGCAAAAAAAACCAACCCAGCTGTACATGATCTCAAGGCAAAGCAGAGCATTTCATCACTGTTGGACAACAGGTAGCAGGATGCTTATTAAATGTACTGCTTGCAAATCATCAGCTGGTTTTGGAAGTTATATATTTCCAGGCAGAATTATCATCTCCGACTAAATTTAAATGTGCCTAAATTGGACTGATTGCATCCATTTTTACCCCAGGTTTGTCAAATAGGTTTAATACATCCTCTTTTCAACCCAATTTCACGTCCCTCTGCCAAAGTTTGTCATTTTGAAGTCGGTGCAAGCACTCCCAGAGTCTCCCATCATCTTCTGTACATTCCTCTTCGCACTTAGGCTGCTTGGAAAGCAAGGAGCCATATTACAAGAACAGCAAAAAAGAACACTACATTCAGTCCCTTCCCTTATGGATGGACTTCTTCCCATTCCACGCTTGCTAACGACTGGAGAACATACTCGCAGTGCATGCACCACAGATTCTCCTTGAGAAACAGGGAGACAACAGACCTGAAGTAAATATGCAGTCTCTAAATCTACATGTAATGTCATGTATTGTCCTGATTTCATTCAGTTCTGGTCACTGCCATCCTAAATTAAAAGCCAGATTTCTTACAGGAGCGAGCACAGCTGCACTGACTGCGCCTGCTCTGGCGGAGCTGTGTACAGCACACATGCTCAAAGAAAGACCACTGGTAGTTGAGGTATTGCAGAAGTGCCACCGCTGTGCCGGTACGCGAGCTGTATGCCATTTTTCACTCAAAAGCATTTACTTTAAAACATCATCTATTTAAATGATTTTCATGGGTGAAAATCATTCACTGAAGAAAGTCTTTTAATTAGATGGACAAAGCTGGGTGAGCTAAGCAGAAGGTTTAAAATACCTAGAATTGCCAGAGCCACAAATCTTAAAATCCCAGAATAATCCAGGCTGGAAGAGATTTTAAGGAGTCTCTAGTGCAACCCTCTGTTCAAAGGAGGTTTGTCCAGTTGAGCTTTGAAAAC